TCAGTGCTAAATTATGTACCTGTTGTTGACAATATTATTTTAAAATTTTATACAACGGAGTACTATTTCACTCACAGTAATGAGGACTATTGTTTGAATAAAGATAGGATAAACTTTTTGTTCCTGAAAGGAAATTTGTCTTGTGCTAAAAAGTGCTACACGTTATAGAGGTAAAGTTGGTTTTATAGTCACACATTCGTTCATTTAGAAGTCTCTATATTGTACACAATGTTACTTTAAATATTCGATCTGAATTAGCATGCAAGTGTAACGAGTGGTGGGCAAAGCAAGGCTTCGTGAAACAATGAAACAGTCGAAGCAAATGTGTGGAAGCTTCGAAACGTTTCGAAACCCCACTCTACAGTGACACCTAGTGGTAATTTTTTATGTATTGCACTGAAACAGTTTCAGCAAAGAACGATTGAACAAATTGAGGGATTAAACCCAACTTTGTACATGAATTCCCTCAAGTAACATAGTACAGTGGGTAAGGAGTCAGACTTCCATGCAGGGTTAGTAGATTTTGAAGCCAGTTTGTTGCAGTTGTTTTAAAATGCTTTAATACCAGTTGGTAATGCTTTGCTCTTGTATCGTTTTGTTTCAACATTGGTCTGATATCCGAATAAACAATTTGTGAATAAATATGTCTTGTTTTTGTCTTAAAACAGGGTTGTTGCTAGATCAAAAACGGTGGCCTGAAGTTATCAATAATTATTTATATTATTCATTAAATTTCCCATTTATTGTATTTTATTCATGTCTACCCTAACCCTAAACCCAACCATACTGTAAAAATATTTATTATTGTTTTACAGTGTTACAAAAATGATGCTAAATTGATGGCGTAACTGTAGCTGTATCCTATTTAGGCTACACAAAACAGAAACATGATTAAAATACATAAAACCATGATTCCAGAGTATTTGTACAAGTCGGGATTCGAACCCAAAACATCATGCTAGGCATAGAATCAATTAGCAAACACACAGTCCTCTAAGCCATATGAGACAGAGGTAGCTTGGAGACCTTGGCAGTCAAATTAGGATTCGCCAGGTCTCGAAACGTTTCTAAGCTGATCGATGCTTTGAATCGCTTCAGTCACGTGACTAGGTGTTTCGAACACTTTAGTCACGTGACTTTGGTGCTTCGGATCATGCTTCGGTGCAGTGTTTCGAAACACTTGCGCTTCGGGATCTCGACACTGTGTCGAAACATCAGTTTCACGTCAGCCATCCCTAAGTGTAACTTGAAAACAACATTAGCACTGTTTATTTGACTGTGAACAATGTTGTACTTTGATAGTCATTGGCTGCTAATATGATTTCAGTATTTAGAGTTTGCAAATAATACTTTTATGAAATTACATTATTAAGGGGAAAGTCTGAATTTGCAATTATAAAACCAATTTTACCTCTTTTTACACGTTGCTGTAAGCAGACAATAAAGTAAATGAAACAAACAACACGATTAAGAACATACCTGAATAAAGTTTCAAAAAAGTTACAGAGATGTAACAGTGTGTAATAAGTGTTTTAATGAAGGTCTAATTTAATGTTAGTCCATTCTAAATTTACATCAATATATGTAAGAAATAAAGTACTAGCTTTAATCTGCTCATTTGAAGCAAGTGTTGAAGAGAAGTTATCTTATTTCTGTTCATTGTTTTGTTCATTTTAAACAGGATAAAGTGTCCACACTCAGAGAAAAACTCCTGCTGAAGCGACTGATCTACACACTGTTATAAAGATGGCATTTATTAAAGTAGAAAGTGAAGACCTGAAGATTGAAGAAACATTCACAGTCAAACAGGAAGATCTGCAGGAACAAACAGGTTGACTTTTATTCTCAAAGACCAACGCAGTCATTTGATCCTCATTCAGATATATTTTAATAATAAGAATACTAAATTAAATCCATCTTGCAGCCCTGAGTGTGCTGCCTAGTTCTCTTAAATGCACAAAAGCACTCATTAAAAGACAGAATGAGTTTCTTTCTTGTTACTTGTTCTCATGTTTTTTGTCATTATTTTATGTATTATTAGTCTCCTATTTTCTCTACCTTCTTAAGGTTATTGCTTTTCTTGTTCTCCTACTGTTTGTAAAGCATCCTAAAGCACTGGTACTATATAAAATAAATAAAAACAATCAATTAAAAAAGTTTAACTGAGCTGACGCTATTTGACCTACAGTATTCTCATAGAAGATATCTGCTATTACAGTGATAGTTTGGGCTAGAGTTAGAATTAAATCATTATTATAATAACTAATTACCAGGGCTATTGTGTTTAAACAAAGTGTTTCGCAGGGTCTTAAAATGTCTTAAATTCCAAAATCTAAATCTAAAAATGCCTTAAAAACTCTTAAATTTACTGAAATATTGTGTTGTAGGTCTTAAGTCTTTTTAAACAAGTCTTAATTTTCCTTTGTTCATGTTTTGCTACCCAATCTGGCCAAAACCCATTCAATCACCAGCAATCCATCTCAATAAAACTTTTTATTCAAAATTGTCATTTTAACTCGGTTTATCATAATGGTTTAATTATTTTCCTTACAATAATATTTGCATAAATGTGCTCCTTGTATTTACTGCTGAGGACATTGACCTGGACAGATTATTGTGCAAAGATTTAGTTAATTATAGTTTTAAAACATTTAAAACCTTTGTTTATTTTTTTTTAATTTTTTTTTTACATTTTAAAAAAGTTTAGGTTGGAAAAAGTGTACGGATACAAGTAAAGCTTGTTTTTACACAATATAATTTTTTTTTTTGCTAAGAAATATATAAAATACTGTGTTTTTATATTAATTTATTATTGTATTATTAAATGTATTTATTAATTTTTTATATATAATATAATTATATATAGGGCAAATAAAACCCTTTTCCATCTGGGGTATTTGAAAAATTCCTTATACTTTAGCCCTTCTTGAGTCAAAAATTTTAACCCTGGTTTAAAGTATGTCAGAAAACGTAGATGCCCTAATTTTAAATATGCTGGATAAAATGGACACAAAAAATAACTATTATTTTAAAACATTGAACTACAGTATTCTAAATTATATGACGATTTTGTGAGACGACATGAGACAAAACAAATTATAGTGGAATAATAACGTTTAGCATTGCACTAACTACAACTGGCCAACAAACTAGTTTAAAAATGACTTTTGCTGCTTAAGAAATGGATTACAGCATGCTGATGATATGCAAACATCTGAGTGTGAAGTTCGTCAGTATTGATCATATTCTTTATGTACCAGCAGGCGCCGCCATTGGAATCTTTTTGCTTGAGACTTTTTTTACAGAATGAATTTTTAGATCCTGAAAACAGTGTAAAGACCCACACACACCAAGATGTTTTTTGCGTTTTTAGCACTGTTGCCTCATGACGTTTCTGTGCAGAGTTTACACATTCTCCCGGTGCTCACATGGGTTTTCTTTCCACTGTCTAAAAACATGCAACTTAAGTTACTTGACTAATCCAAATCGGCATCTAGTAAGTAGTTATCTCTTAAGAGCAATCACTTTCTGTTCATTAGCTACTACAGAAGAGTTCTCGAGAACTCCCCTTTCGTCTTGCAAATGGGAGCCCCAGGCTCGTTAAGTGTAAACTTTTGAAATAAATGAAATGAAGTAGTAAAGTATGTAATCTTGCCATCTCATCATCACTCCAGTTTACAGCAAACGTGGCATTAAGCATTTGCATGTGCTCATTCATTAATTTTCCTTCGGCTTAGTCCCTTTATTCATTAGGGGTCGCAACAGCGGAATGAACAACTAACTTCTCCAGCATTTCTATTTAAACTGTGAATGCCCTTCCAGCTGCAACCCAGTACTGGAAAACATTTGTTATATAACATAATTTATCTACAATAATTCAAACTCAGAAATATAGGCGTAAGTTATGTGTACTTGCTATGAACATGCAGTATTTGTCTCAATCAGGTCTTCCAAGCAAGTTACAAATGTTTAAATCCAGTGGAAGATGCATATGAGGGAACACAACATGAATAATCTAGAGCGAGTGCATTTGATCATCTGCATTTAAAGCCACAGGCACAAAAAGAGCTTGGTTTTCCTTTGACCGCCAAAATTATATTTTCTTCAAGGTATATAATCTGATTTTGAACTAAAACCTCAGACGCATTCTGAGAACACCAAAGACTTATTTTACATCTTGTAAAAAAAGGTTCATAAAAGGAACTCTTTAAAGGGATACCATTTTACTCTCATGTTTTACATGTGGTTTTAAACCTTTACGAGTTTCTGGATTCTGTTGAACACAAAAGAAGATATTGTAAAAAAAATGCTGGCTTACTTTGTGTTCCATAAGAAAGGAAATGTTTAAAACCACATGACGCAGAGTAAATGGTAAACTCATTTTAATATCTGGATGAAACATCCATCTTTTGCTTGTCACTTTGTGTCTTCGTACTAAAGTTAAACAATGTTTTTTTTTTTTTTTTTTTTTTTAAGACCTGATGGTGTTGAAAGAAGAGGCTCATGAACAGAATGAAATGGAAGAGAAACTCCAAGAAATAACGACTGATGAAAAACCTACACTGACTAAAAAAACTTCATCACGTGGAAGACCTCGGAAATCCAAATCTGCGTGTAATTTCGGCAGTAAACAGAGTAGAAAGAGTTTTAGTCAAAAGTCAAACCTTGATGTTCACACTAGGGAGAAACCTTACACCTGCGAACAGTGTGGAAAGAGTTTTGGTCACATACAAGGCTTTGAAAACCACATGAGAATTCACACTGGAGAGAGGCCTTTCAGTTGTAAACAGTGTGGAAAGAGTTTCACTCAAAAGGCAAACCTTGATGTTCGCATGAGAGTTCACACGAAGGAGAGGCCTTACACCTGCGAACAGTGTGGAAAGAGTTTTACTTATAAACAAGGCTTTACAACCCACAAGAGAATTCACACTGGAGAGAGGCCGTACACATGCCAACAGTGTGAAAAAAGCTTCTATCATCCAGGAAACTTTGCGGTGCACATGAGAATTCACACTGGAGAGAGGCCGTATACATGCCAACAGTGTGGAAAAAGCTTCTACCAATCAGGAAACTTTGCAGCGCACATGAGAATTCACACTGGGGAGAGGCCGTACTCTTGCATCCAGTGTGGAAAGAGTTTTAAGCAAAATTGCACCCTTGAAGTCCACATGAGAACACACACTGGAGACAGAAGTTTTATTTGCTCATACTGTGGAAAACGTTTTTCTCAAAAACATGACCTTAACATCCACATGAGGATTCACACTGGAAAAAAAACTCACACATGCACACAGTGTGGGAAAAGGTTTACTCAAAAAACAAGTCTTGACAACCACATGAGTATTCATACTGGAGAGAAACCTTACAGATGCACAGAGTGTGGGAAAACTTTCCCACATAAAAGCTCACTCAAACACCACATGAGAACTCACACTGGAGAGAAGCCGTTTGCATGTACTCAGTGTGGAAAGCGCTTCACAACCAAAGCTAGCCTCAAGAACCTCATGGATGGTCACACTGGAACCATAGTGTTGACATGTGATCAGTGTGAAAAGAGTCTCACACGCAAAGAATCCATCAGGAAACACATCAAGAAGATTAACTCAGGAGAGGACCCTTTTAGATGCAGTGAGTGTGGAAAGGGCTTTAAACGTAAAAGAAGCCTCAACACTCACCTAAAGCTTCACAATGGAGAGCAGAGTCCCCAAAATTGAGGCCTTGTCCACACAAACACTGGTATATTCAAAACGGCAGCTTTTTCATGTAGTTTGGCTGTTCATTCAAGTGAAGTTTATTTATACTACTTTTGAGAGGATCACATGCTTATGTTTGTCTACGGCTGGTCCTGCATTAGCCAACACATGATTTACCAATCAGATGATTCCTGACTCACTATAAATAACCAGAGTTTCTTACCAGGACAAGTGTGAACTTTTGAATACATATCAAGTTTTCTGAAGATGAAACCCTTTGAACACCTGCAGGGCTGCAAGAACCCAAAATAACTCTATATGTTGATAGATTGTATGACTTGTTTCATATGCAAACAAGTATCTGCATCTGAAAAGGTGTGAACCAAATGACCTACAGGAACTCAAGAGTTGTGACCCAACCAAAGAAGTAGGCTGATCTCCGAGGGTTACATCCTTTGTTATAAAGTAATGTCTCACTTTGGGTTAAGTTAACAATGAGTTAACATCGCTGCTGAGGAACTGCACTATTCATTGTCTTCGATAAAGTCTTCTCCCCGTAAGAGCTTTGGTCAGCTTACTTATTTTATGTATTAAAGTCATCTATGTAAAAATTAATTAAGCTGTATTCCTCCTCTTCCCATCTACTGTGTGCCACCACTCAAGCTAGATTAGCAACACCTGTGTTTTGCCCTATAAAAGTTTGTGTGTAAAAAGCTCACATGAAAAAATTCCACACTTACGAATTGTTTATTAATTTACTTATCAAACATCAAATGAGGCATCCAGGGTGATTTTGCGAGCCCTTTTACTCGCTCTGGAAGAGTACGGTTCTTGAAGTGTTGGCAGGGAAGTGCCAGTAGCCGCATTTCCACTATCGGGCCAGTGCGAGCCAGGGCTTTTATCGGGCCGGGCCAATCGCCCGGGAGATGAGTAATGAGGCCAAAATTATGTTGCGTTTCCACTGTCGGGCTAGCAGTCGCAGCGCGTCCCCAGAAAGACCCACGAATCAAAAACAAATTAAAAACCATTAAAATGAAGACAACCGAAACAAACAAATGACACGTTACTGTACAGCAGTACATTATATGTTTATAAGCACAGACCTGTGTATTACCATTTGTAACTGATCTGCTTTTCACTCAATAACTTCAATTGACACCAAGCGCTGCTTTCCTCCACTTTATTTAGTCTTGCAGAAGACAATTTAACACAAACACGTTGTCTTTTGGCTTTACTGCACATTCGACCCCCTCATCAATACAGAGCAGCATTGTGAGGTTGAATGAATTATTTTCTTAATAATTTATGTAATTACATTTGGTAAATTTGACAATTTATACACAATTACACACATAATCTCTTATAATTTTACACTTTGAGAAATTATCAATTTAAAATGTATAGGAAAACACGTTTTTCCTCTACAGTTACAACAAAATGAAAATTTCTTTATCACTAGAAACCAGACTTAACTAGATACAAAAATGTGTAAAAGTTACACACAACAGAGTCACCTGGTGGACAAAGTTCAGCGTTTCTCCCACTGTAGGTGACCTTTCACTAAGTCTCTGTGGCGCAATCGGTTAGTATGTTCTGCTGTTAACTGAAAGGTTTGTGGTTCAAGCCCATCCAGCGATGAGTTAAGCGTTTTGCTGCCTTGCAACTGCTAACACGTGCACTGGGCATAGATCCTGGGCCACATTCTGTCCAGCGTTACACGATGAAATCAGGATGTGGCAGAAAATTTGTATGGGTAGGGAAGGTATTGATGTAAAGAGTGTCTAGCTCTTGAACAAAGTGTTCACCACCCTGGCTAGCTCAGTTGGTAGGGCATGAGACTCTTAATCTCAGGGTTGTGGCTTCATACCCCACGTTGGGTGCTTTTGTGACCTTTTTGTCTCTCTTTCAGCAAAATTTCAATCGAGTTTATATAGAAGACCTTTAGAGACAAAGTTCAGCATTTCTGCCACTGTAGGTGACCTTTCAATAAGTCTCTGTGGCGCAATCGGTTTGCGAGTTTGGCTGTTAACTGAAAGGCTGGTGGTTCAAGCCGACCCAGGAACGAATTAAGCATTTTTCTGCCTTGCGACTACTAACATGTGACCTAGGCATAGATCCTGGGCCATATTCTGTCCAGCGTTGCAAGATGACATCAGGATTAAGCAGAAACATTTTTCATGTGTAGGGAAGATATTGATGTAAATGGTAACTAGCTCTTGAACAAAGTCCTCAACAACCCTGCTAGCTTAGTCGGTAGAGCATGAGACTCTTAATCTCAGGGTCGTGGGTTCGAGACCCACGCTTGGTGTTTCTGTGACCTTTTGTCTCTCTTTCAGAAAACTTTTATTCGGGTTCATATAGCAGACCTTTAGAGACAAAGTTCAGCCTTTCTACCACTGTAGGTGACCTTTTACTAAGTCTCTGTGATGCATTTGGTTAGCGTGTTCGGCTGTTAACTGAAAGTTTGGTGGTTCAAGCCCATCCAGTGACGAGTTAAAAATGATCCTGCCTTGCAACTGCTAACACGTGCACTCAGCATAGATCCTGGGCCATATTCTATCCAGCATTGCAAGATGAAATTAGGATGTAGCTGAAAATTTGTATGGGTAGGGAAGGTATTGATGTACACAGTGTCTAGCTCTTGAACAAGGTGCTCATCAGCCTGGCTAGCTCAGTTGGTAGAGCATGAGACTCTTAATCTCAGGGTCGTGGGTTCGAGCCCCACGTTGGCTGTTTCTGTGACCTTTTTGTATCTCTTTCAGCAAACTTTCATTCGGGTTCGTATAGCAGACCTTTAGAGACAAAGTTCAGCATTTCTGCCACTGTAGGTGACCTTCCGTTAAGTCTCTGTGGCGCAATCAGTTAGCGCGTTTGGCTGTTAACTGAAAGGTTGGTGGTTCAAGCCCACCCTGGGATGAATTAAGTATTTTGCTGCTTTGCAACTACTAACATGTGACTTGGGCGTAGCTCCTGGGCCATATTCTGTCAAGCGTTGCAAGATGACATCAGGAGTAAGCAGAAGATTGTCATGGATAGGGAAGGTATTGATGTAAATGGTAACTAGCTCTTGAACAAAATCTTCAACAACCCCGCTAGCTTAGTTAGTAGAGCATGAGACTCTTATTCACAGGGTCTTATGTTCGAGCTCCACGTTTGGGTGTTTCTGTGACCTTTTTGACTCTCTTTCAGCAAACTTTAATTTGGGTTCATATAGCAAAGTTCAGCGTTTCTACCACTGTAGGTGACCTTTCACTAAGTCCTTGTGGCGCTACCTGGATCAGGATCGTCTGTCTCAGCCTCTCTCCTCGTCCAATTGTTGCACTTGCTCTCCATTGTGAGAATGGACGAGAGCCAATCACCGCACTCGCTCTCCATCGTGAGAATGGACGGGAGCCAATCGCCGCTCTCGCTCTTTATTGTCAGAATGGATGAGAGCCAATCGCGTCGCGGCATATGCAAATGAATAACAACACCGCTGTATTCTCATGAGCGCACAGCACAATATAACAGATCAAGGTAAGTTTTTTTTGTCAACATTTAAATCTACTGATAAAAGCTGTTTTGTCGATTGTAGTCTTTTGTTATGTCACAGTCTTGGCCTCCTACGCTGATTTATTATTGTATGACAAGAGTTTTAACAAAAGTCACCCTAAGTTCACAGTTTTGTGCATAGTGTCATGAGCATAGGTCACGGCCCGCACCCTGTTTAACATTACAGGCTTTTGATACGGTTGTAGAATTCATTGATTTGTTCCCACGTGTGTTTAATTTAAAGGGGTTGTCCACTATGATCTCATATTTTAAACTTTAGTCGATGTGTAATGTAGCTGTGTGAACATAAACAACATCTCTGAATGTAAAAAGTTCTAAGTTCAATGCAAAGGGAGACCTTGGTTTTTACAGAGTTAGCTTAGCAAATCCTACAATGAAAAATTTTAGGGACTACAAAAAAATACTTCCGCCCCCCTGTGACATCACAAGTTCATTTACTGCGCATCTCACAATGCGCATGCAGGTAAGGGCCGTGGCCAGAAGCACTTTAACGTTATAGCGAGATGAAGCTAAAAATGCGTCTAAACGGCTGTTTCCACAGAGCTTCGTCTGTTTCTGTATTTAGGCTTCCAAAGGACACGACACAAAGACAGAAGTGCCTTCAGTTCAATATTAATTATCTTCCAGAGAATTATAAAATACTCAGCAAGCATGATTTGACAAAACAGCTCCAGAATCTCTCCAAGTTCAGTGCTGGATTCGGCTAAAATCTCCTCAAAGCAGAAGTTGTAAGCTACAAGTAAGTGTTTTTATTTGTTAAAATTGATCATGACATGTACAGTGTCTAGCATTAACGGTATGCTGTAGCAATGATGTAAACAATGCGAAATGCTGCTTTGCCGGCAAACGATTTAGCTACAAATTCATATCTATCAGCCAAACTGCTGTAACACACACTCACTCCACCAGCATGTTCGTGTCTCTTATGTGTGTGCGCACGGGACTGCTGATTGTCTTTAGGCAGCTTTTCCATGTGTTTCACATCTCAGATAATGAAGTCGCAAAAGATATGTGGATGATTCATATTACTTACACCTGCATATTCCGGATACTCGTGAAAGACGTCATAACGCATAGAGTTAAAAAAAAATACAGATTAGCTTACCTGACTAGTGGTCGCAGCAGAATAATAAATCAAGGCTCAACAGGTAGCATAAACAAAGTATGGGGAGAAAACAGAATAAACGAGGGCTGAAAACAAAAAGAGCACCACTCCACATCTGGA